ATAAATTTTCAAGACAAATGATACGTACTATTTATCAATCGTGTAAATAATTAATTCTTAATTATTTTGATAAAAATTAAAAAAATCTTTCTCCTCTCAATAATAGTTGAAAGAATTTATTTTTTCTTAATTTTAATATTTCATCTTTTATATTAAAAATAACTAAAACTAAAAATACTCTTTTCACATTAGATATAATATAATTTATTAGGTGCTTTAAAATTGAATTCACATAAATAAAAATATGTGTTTGAATTTTCGTTAAAAAAGTTTATAAAAGCAAAATTTTGTACGTATATGAAATTTAAGAAGTTTAAATACGCTGTGCTTTTCTAACACCTAATAAATTTTAATACATATTAAAATATTTTCAGAATTAATAAATTTTTATATACTTAGAAAAAAAAATATTTAGAGATTTTTCGTACGAATGGGGAGCAGTTTTCACGTGAAAACACATGTTATATGTCTGTCGGTAGCTCTGAATCGATAAAAAACAAAGCTATGAATTAATAATTCGTATAAAATAAAATATTTTTTAACCAAAAATATATTATTATTTTTTCCGTTAGTGATAAATATTCAAAAATATATTTTATGTCAAGATTCGATATTAATATGCGATTGAAGGTAGATTTTTTTTAAAAAAATTAAATTTTAGATAATTTTTGGGATAATTTGAAAAAATTTCAAAGATTGAAGGTAGATTTAAAATGTAAAGAAATAGAGAGGATTGAAAAGGAATTAGAAGAAAGAGAAGAGAGGGAGTGAGGGAGAGAGGAGAAGAGAGTTAATGAGAGAGAGGGGAGTTTTTAGAGAGATGAAGAAATAGAGAGAGAAAGTGAGCATGTTTTAGAGAGAGAAAGAGTGAAATATAAGGAGAAAAGAGAGAAGAGAAAGATAAAAAATTTAGAGAAAGAATAATAATTTGTGATTTATTTTGTATAAATTTTTTTTCTCTTAGTTGATTTATAACTAATATTTTATAAATATAAAAGAGTATATAAAATTTTTTATCAACTATTACAATAGTTAAAATATATGAAAGTCTTTATCAACAATTGTAACTAACTGTTTATGATTTTTTAAGATATCAATATTTTACTATTAAAATAAGTTAACGTCGTTATGTCGAAACAGATATAGTGTAGTGATGCAACCTTAATTTATTTTATAAAATTAGTTTATAGTAATTAATTTATTTTAAAGTATAAATTGGTCGATAGTTATAAGTAAAATTTTTTAGTGTATTAAGAAAATTGCAATTTAATAGACTTCAAAAGTCGATGTAAAATTTTGTCACTAGGATAGATGTCAAATAAATAATTTTTATCTACTTTAAGTATAGGATACATCTAAATTTATAAATTTATTAAAAAAATGAGTATAGCAATGAACAAATCTGATTCATATTTATTCTGCATCAATCTTTACGAATAACATGTCATTTTCAAATGAATGAATTTTCATAGATCATCAAAAATTCATATAAGAAAGATTCTTCAAAGTACACATTTTTAGTTTATTTATACAATTAGTTTCCAACAATATGCTCTTAAAGTGCAGAAAGCCACAACAATAACTTCTTCTCAAAACTATTCTCTTATATAAATACAACGTAGCAACCTATTTAACGGAGGAAGTAGAAAAAAGGAGAAAAAGTTTGAAATACAAAAGCCACAATGAATGAATGAAATGTTGGATTCACAAATTGAATTTTCAATATAAATTGTAATTATATGTATTAGAAGTCACTAATCCCACTAAAATTAAAATGTATATTCAAAGCTTCAAAATATAAGAAATTTTAATGGATTTTTATGTAGTGATCATATGACTTGAATCATGTTAAGATTATATTCATTTATGGGATGGGTTAGAAGTACAGTATGCAAGAAATCGTGGGCAAATGATCATCATAATACCCTTTATTATAGCCATTCTGCCTACTCTGAGTAGTTTGAAGATGTCTTCTTATCAACACAATATTTTCTCTAGTCTCCTCTACTATTTATAGTCCAATTAGTTTCTTCTCTCCAACTTCTTCCCAGCAAGATGGTGATTTACAGGATCTCCTGTATAAAGCTTCATAAGGAGCCATTTTACTGTTGGTATGATAATTGTTATTGTATACGAATTCAATCAAAGGCAAATGATCATCCCAGTTCCCTCTGAAGTGAATGACACAATCTTTCAACATATCTTCTAGTATGTCTGAATTACTCTTTTTGACTGCCTATTAGTTTGAAGATGGAATGTCGTATTGAAAGACAGTTTAGTGTCTAAGGTTAGGATTTTTGTTATTTTCAACAATTCAGGTCATCTCGTTTGAGTTTTTTCATGTTTTGACTTTTGAGTTTTTGTTTACTTAAAATTTTCATTATTTGTTCACTAATTTTTCTTTTGTTGGGGATATAAGTGTTATACCCACGATCCAATTATTCGTCTAATATATTGAATAAATTGTTATTTGACAATTTATTCAATATATTATACGAATAATTGGACAATTTATTTTAATATATGATAATAGTATTTTATTATCACATCATTTAATTTATGTGATAAAGTTCTTAATTAAATTTATAGGTTTTACATCAAGACGAGAATTGAGAGAAGCATAAAGTCGAACGAGACTGTGTCACAGTTGAAGAAGGAATGAAATCAATGACAGTATCAAACCCAACCAGTGATGAACAAGATGAAGAAGATGAAGAAGATGAAAAAGATGTAGAAGGTGAAGCAGAAGAGAGAATAAAAATGAAAAGTCTAACTGACATCTATGAGAGGTGTATCTTTGCCTCAAAAGAACCTTTCTCTGTTGAGGTGTATCTTTGCACTTCAGCAGCAAGAGTGGAGACTTGCCATGGAATAGGAAATCAGGATGATTGACAAAAACAATACTTGATCTTTGGTAAAATTAAGTACAAACAAAAAACCTATTGGAGTAAAGTGGGTGTTCAAAGTGAAACTCAATTCGGACGGGACAACAAACAAGCACAAGGCACGGCTTGTGGCAAAAGGGTACTCCCAGCTTCCAGGAATCGACTACACAGAGACCTTTGCTCCTGTGGCCAGATATGAAACAATTAGACTCATCCTGGCCATGGCAGCTCAGTTTAGTTAGAGTGTGATGCATTTGGATGTGAAATCGGCCTTCTTGAATGACAAGCTGAATGAAAAAATTTATATTGAGCAGCCACCGGGGTTCATTCAACCTCGAAAGGAGAGACACGTCTATCTTCTTCACAAGGCCCTATACGACCTCAAACATGCTCCACGAGCCTGGTATGATTAGTTAAATACATACTTACTCCACTGTGGGTTTGAGAGGAGCATGACAGAAAATACACTGTATGTGAATAGAGATGAAGACAGTCTTATCACTGCAGTATATGTTGATGATATATTGGTGACAGGCAGCAATAAAAGGAAAATGATAGAGTTCAAGCTGAAATTGGAAAAGGAATTTTAGATGTCTGATCTTGGAGAGGCTACCTACTTCCTGGGAATGGAGATTCATCAAAGCAACCTGGGTATTTTTATTTCACAAGGAAAGTATGCCAAAGAAATTCTAAATAAATTCAACATGAATCACTGTAAATCAGTGTCTACACCACTGGTGTCCAACCTGAAATTGTCAAAGGACGAGAAAGGTAGCAAAGTTGAAGAGGGGAATTACAGAAGTCTGATTGGGAGCCTTCTGTATCTCACAGCTACCAGACCAGACATTTTGTTTGCAGTAAGTTTGCTTTCAAGGTACATGGCTTCACCGAGGGAATCACACTTACAAGCTGCCAAACATGTGCTAAGGTACTTGAACGGAACCTGAATTTTGGTGTTCAATTCAAAGCAAGAGCTGATAGTGGATTAGTCGGCTACAGTGACAGTGATTGGGCAGGAAGCGTAGAAGATGCACGTAGCACAACTGGGTACTTGTTCAAACTAGGCTCCGGTGTTTTTTCATGGGCATCTAAGAAACAGGATACTGTGGCTCAGTCCACAGCTGAGGCTGAGTATGTAGCCGTAGCTACAGCAACTAACCAAGCAATTTAGTTGAGGAAGGTGTTCAATGATGTAAAGCTGGACAAACAAACACCTACAGTGTTGTATGTAGACAACAAGTCTGCAATTGCCATTGCGAAAAATCCTGTAATGCACGGGAGAACTAAACACATTAACGTTAAGTATCATGCTATACGTGAGACTGAGAGGAATCAAGAAATAAAGCTGATACATTGCTCCACTGATGATCAGCTTGCAGACATTCTAATCAAGGCCCTGTCTAAAGCTAAATTTGAGGAATTGCGGGAAAAGGTGGGGATTGGTGAAAAAAGTCATTAAGGGGGAGTGTTAAATTTAATGATTTTTTTTGTTAAGTTTAAATTCAAAAAAAAAAAAAAAGAAATCCACCGTGAAGTTGTTTCACGGAAGGATACGTAAAATTCTATGCGATGTGTATGCATGATTTTCGGTCAATTTGATTTGATCGGTTGGTTGATGTAATCTGTTTAAATTTGTATTTATATATATATGTTGAAATAAAAAGGAGAAATAACTTCTTCTCTCCAAAGAAAGTGCACGCCTCTTCAAAACAGTAAAATAGAGGCAGTTACATTAGCTTGCTCTGTTTTGCTGCCCTCTCTCTCCTCAACTTTCTCTCTCTAAGTTTTCTCATTCACAGAGCCACCTTTCAAGCTTATTCCCCTTCGATCAACAACAACATCATTCTCCAACCAGAATTTATCCTAGACACTTGCTAGATCAAACGAGGTGGCAAGGTTATTGAAGAAAACCTGGTTAAATGGAAATAGTTCCCAACCGAAGAAGCTACCTGGGTGCTCGCCCAGAACTTAGCCGAATAATTTCCTAACCTTTAGGACAAGGTTGCTTTCAATGGGAGGAGGGTGATGATAAGATCCGAAGATCACAAAGAAAGGCCAGACAGAATCTAAGATACTTGGATAACTTATCGACCCAGCTGCTTCGCACAGTTTGTAACAAACAGAGGAAGAAATCTACCCAAAAATCACGGACGAGCTATTATCCACTCCAGAATTTCAGCACCAGCATTTTTTTTTTGAATTCCTTTTGATTTACTTGTATCTTCTGTTCTTATCTAAGATTATATAATCAGTTGTACTCATGTCTATTTACAGGTCTCGACATTCGTCAATAAAGGAGTCAAGAAATCCAAAAACTTTCTCTGGTATTTTTTTGCCTAAAGTAGAAAACCTTACTTGAGTGCGAAGCTTTGATTGAGACCTATAAGCTCCTTTTAAAATTCTGTTCAAAACTATTCCTCAACATCAGCATTTAAAAGTGTTTGGGTGCTTATGTTATGCATCAAATCTTTCTCCAACCCATACTAAATTCGATTGTAAAGCTGTTAAGTGTTTATTCCTTGGATATCCTTCTCATATTAAAGGGTATAGAGTCTATGATATCCAGTCTCACAAAGTTTTTGTATCCCGAGATGTCCAATTCTTTGAACATATATTTCCCTTTTCTTATTTATCCTCTACTCCTTCGACTACAGATTCAAACAATCTTGTACTTCCTTGTGTTGATGATTTAACACCAGATTGTAGTGTACAACCGACTTCACAGCATCAGGGTAATGTAGACCTCAGCTACTATGCTGGATCAACTAATTCTGGTAATTCTCATTCCTCATCATTTACATCTGATAATTCTTTTACTCATGCATCTCCTTCTTTGATTGGAAATAGTTCACCAGAAAATTATAACGACTCAACCACAGAATCAGATAACTTACCTATTTCACATTCACCACCACTCAGAAGAACTAATAGATCCATAAAGCAATCGTCTCATTTACATGGTTACTACTTATATGGTTTGAAGTCTCATTCTATATCCACTCCACATTGCCTTTCAAATGTCCTTACTTATGATAATCTTTACAACACACACAAGCCTTTTGTTCTTTCCCTATCCTAAGAAACTGAACTAATCACTTATACTCAAGCTATTAAAGTATCTTGCTGGAAAGAGACAATGGTCACTGAGATACAAGCACTAGAAGCAAACCAAACCTGGGATCTTGTTCCTTTACCTCCTGATAAGCGACCCATTGGTTGTAAATGGGTCTACAAGATCAAAAGACATGCAGATGATTCTATCGAAAGATAAAAAGTCAGATTAGTTGCAAAGGGATACACCCAGCAATCTGGAATTGATTTTTTCTTTACACTTTCTTACCTGTTGTCAAGCTGTTTAAAACCACCATTCGGACTTGTTGGCACTAGCTTCTGCAAAAGGCTGACATCTTCATCAGTTGGATATCAATATTGCTTTTTTACATGGTGATTTAAAAGAGGAAGTATATATGACTCTTCCCCCCTGGAGTTCATGACTCTCAGCCCAATCAAGTTTATAGATTAAAAATGAGCTTGTACGGTCTTAAACAAGTTAGTCGACAATGGAATTTCAAGCTGACTGAAGCCTTGAAAATTTATGGTTTTATGCAAGCCCATTCAGATTCCTCACTGTTTTTTAAGCATACTGGTTTTTCTTTTATTATGATTCTTGTGTATGTAGATGATGTGTTTCTTGCCAGTGATAATTTGGATCAGATTCAATCAGTTAAAAATTTTCTACATGATATTTTTAAAATAAAAGATCTTGGTGAAGTGAAATATTTCTTGGGTTTGGAGATCTTGTGTTCCTCTGCAGACATTAATGCTTGCCAATGTAAGTATACTTTGGATTTATTTCGTGATACTGGATTTTTGGGCTGTAAACCAACTTCTACACCCATGGTTCCTTCTGTCAAGTTGACAAAACAGGATGGTCCTCCTCTTCAGGATGCTTTCTTATACAGGCAACTCATTGATAAGCTACTTTACCTTGCCAATACTCAACCTGATATTTGTTATTCTATTCAACAGCTTTCTCAATTTTTAAATACTCCCAGTCAAACACATTTGCAAGCTGCACCTTTGATTTTGAGGTATCTTAAAGGTACTCCGAGTTAAGGTCTTTTTTATCCGGCTGAGAACTCTCTGCACCTCAAAGCTTTCAGTGACTCTGACTGGGTAACTTGTAGTGATTCTCACAAATCCCTTACTGGATTCTCTGTATTTCTTGGTGATGTATGGATTCTCTGTATTAAAGCCATTATTCTACGGTTTCTTTATCACAATCTCAATTAATGAAGAGATTGACAGATGTACATTTAGTCATTAGTTTAAAAAAATTACAAAAAATTAGAAAATTAAAATCTATATAAGTTTTTGTAATATGATCAATATCCATACTTCCCATCTTCTATATACCCTTTACTACATAATGTAAATGGGATGAACAAGTTGTGATGATACATAATCTTTAACACTATATCCGTCTCCATAAGAGTCTCCGAGTCTATACATGCATAGGGCTATCCTTGCAGCATCCATTGCAACATCGATGTATATCTTAGAGTGTGGTAGAGAATATGTGATTATGTATGTATTTATCTTTTTCAACATTTTCTCAATTAGATTTCTGATATGTTGACGAGCATCTTCCTCTGATGCTCCAGTCTCGTGCATGTAACACTGAATTGACTTTGAAACATCTCCTCTTTTAAGCTCTACCTATATGTACACAACAAACAATAAAACATCATTGTTATATATTAAAGCTCTACAAAAACTATATTATACTTATAGTTCAATTATGAAAAGATGAAAATAGACTTTACAAAATTTGAGATAATGAATTCAATATCAAAAGAATCTCAATTAAATTGAAAAATATATTTAAAATTTTGTCGAAATCAAATTTAAGATATATACCGATGATGTTCCAAGATCATCCGCGAGACGTATAATTGTTGAGGACCAACGAATAACATCATGGTATTCATTTAAACAATCTAATGGTTTATTATTTATAACATTTGTAAGAATGTAAACATGCTTTAGCATAATTGCTCCTCCTACTGAAATCCATGCATTTTCCATGTAGTCTTCTAGGCTTGGCCTGCATTTACTATAGTACCACTTGGCCTCTAATAAATATGCTTCACATAATTCTGCCCACTGAAAAATAAAATAAAATTGATTTGGTTATTGACTTGCTATAAATTTGATTCACTTTTTAAAAAAACAAATTAAGGTTTTTATATACAAACATAATTTATACATAAAATAACAACAAGTCATCTAATTAAATTACCAACTATTTTTGGTTGGATGATTAATATTTCTATAATTCTTTATAAAAGTATGGATTTGAGTTATGATTTGTATTAAAAATAATTTTTATTTAGAAAATTGTGTTATTATTTCCTGTGTTAGTATTAGTGCATGGATGATTATCTAATTAATGAAATATATATATTTCTATTGAAAAAATTATTTCATTAATGAAATCGAATTAGATACTTACTGCTTCTCTTAGGTGAGGAATGACATTAGTCCCATGCTCCTTGAGAATGCCAAATGAAATTTCGTTTATAGAGTTATAGAGGCCAAGAAAACATATTTGCATGTACTCTGGAAGTTGGTCAATTGCATTAATGTCCCACCTGTAATTTTAATATTTATAATATAAATCTAGTAAACGTTGATCATCTTATAATACAACTACAATTAATTTAGAAAAGTGTGTATTACTAACCTTTTAACGGTATCTGTAAAGAGCTTCAGTTCATTTAAAGTACCATATACATCATAAATATCGTCAATAGTAGTCACTAGAGAAATCACTTTTGTTACCATTTGTCTATAATATCCAAGTTGAGTCTTAAATGTAACAGCAATACTCCATAAAAAACTCTCCACTAACCTACTCCTCGAGAAGACTAGCTTGTCCTCGAAGCCAATATTCTTCCACCATCTTATTTTGCAAAATAAGAAAATTGCTATTAGTTTGAGAAAATTATAGCAAATGATTAAGATTTTTCATCATAATGTTTTAAGCACATCATATTTTACACTAATCCAAAAAAGTTGCTTAAGTAACATGCAAGTTTGAACACAACCAAATCGTTCCAAGAATATGATGATACTAATCCAATAAAGTGATGTAGGTATCATGGAAGCATGAAAACAATCAACTCAATTTATTAAAGCTTTCAAAGTTTAGAATTCACTAACTTAATCCCATTGCCCAAAAAATATAGAACATTAACACTAAAGAGTAAAAGAAATATATAGAATCTTTTAAGTTTCTGAAGAATACTAAGCAATTTGATTGACTAATTCTAGTTGTAATTGAGTTTTTACATAATACTCTTATGTATAAACTTGCTAAACCAAAAGTGTCTCAAGTACAAATGTAATACATCTTGTATTGGAAGTTAATTAGCAAAAATAAGACAATAACAACCATAAGTTGAAATTTAGGTAACTAACTGAAAATTTGTTATAATAAAAACTTAATAAAAGATGAATCAATTTATTGTTTATTTCTACCTATAATATTGGTGATATTTGAGTCAAGAAGTTAAATATTCAAATTGCGTTTATGAATTTCTCATTGCCTATAAGACTATTATATATTGTCTAAATTTAATTATTTTTAGAATTGATTAGGTCTTCTTAGTCATAAAATAGATGAACAAAATATTTGCTTCCTCTTACTTACCTTGACTCTTGTTTTAGATCCTTTTTGTAAATGGCCTGCACTATGTTGAAATCTAGCTTTGCAAACTTAAGCAAGATAGGACTCATGTCTTGTTTCCTTTCGTAGTACTCAATGAACCATCTGGCCTCCACTCTTGGAACTCTCCAGTGTAAGGGAAGCTCTAAGGCATGGCTCACAAACACTGAAAGATCATTTTTATTTTGCTTTATATATTCCTTAAGATGTTTTGTGGTAAAACTTCTAGCTTCTTCTAGAATTATTTCACCTTCTACCAAAAGATATGAAGCTTCATACAAGCTCAAAATTCCCTTTATATCTTCGTTGAGGTGTGCCTTAAAGCTCCTTTTCTCGTCCATAAAAATATTAAAAATCTCTACAAGATACAAATGAAGATTTGTTTTACGAATTTGTACATGTTGACTTAAGCAACTTTATGTATCAATTTCTCCATTATTTAACTCAAAAAAGAAGTGCCAATATGGTCATGTTTAAGTACCTTGAGGTATGTGGTAGCCATGTTGTCTTAGAAGTCTGAATTCAAGTGCTGTTGCATATAAATTATTTTTCTTCCACGAATCATTATTTGTTTTGTTTTTCTCACTTATGCACTTCAAGATTTTGTCTATATCATTTGTAAAGTGATAAGATAATCCCAACCTCTCAAGAATATCAATTAACTCAATGCTATCCAATGGATCCTCCAAAAGTTCAAGCATCGTGCTCACTTGTGCCTTTAGCTTCCTTAACTGTATACCATAAGATTCTTCCTGTACTAAAAGAAAGGCTTAATCAATTTGTAAATTTGAAGTAGGCTAATCAAACGATCATAAATATCATCTTTTTTTTTTTTGGCAAAGTCAGATCATTTTATTAATAAAGAAGATGCACACTAGTAATTAAGCAAGGTAAGAAGGAAACGTACGTACCAGATAATCATTTGTCAGAGATTGAATATAATCATAGCTCCAAAGAGGAGGTTCATAATTTGCTGACCTCCTTGGAATGGATTGTTGATGCATCGGAATTTCACTTCCACCAGCTGCAAGCTTGCACCGAACCCTAAAAGGATCAACACAGACACCATTTTTGATGAGATTACAATTTTCTGGTCTGCTATTCATGAAGAAGAAGCTTGAAGGGATTAATCCTTGAATTAAGCTGTGAATAGCCATACAATAGAAATTTATACACCCTGATATAGATCTTATTATGAATACTGCAAGTTTTAGTAAACGCTTTGTTGTGTATATATCGATCTTAACTCAACAAATGCCCTTATACGTACATATATATATATATATATTTATTTATGACACGATCTGATTTCTTAATTTTCTGTAATTATTATTATTTATTTCTCTGTCTAATGAGTGAAAAAAATATTCCACTGTTGATGGCAGGCATGTGTTTTTCATGCGTACATAAAGTCAAAAAGGTAGGTCCAAATGAATATATATGTACATGTATATATGGCATTTTTTTGTACTTTCTCTTGCAAGTACTATTCTTAGATGGGGAGCAGTTTTCACGTGAAAACACGTGTTGCATGTCGGTAGCTCTGAATCGATAAAAAACAAAGCTATGAATTAATGATTCGAATAAAATAAAATATTTTTTAACCAAAAATATATTATTATTTTTTCCGTTAGTGATAAATATTCAAAAATATATTTTATGTCAAGATTCGATATTAATATGCGATTGAAGGTAGATTTTTTTAAAAAAAATTAAATTTTAGATAATTTTTGGGATAATTTGAAAAAATTTCAAAGATTGAAGGTAGATTTAAAATGTAAAGAAATAGAGAGGATTGAAAAGGAATTAGAAGAAAGAGAAGAGAGGGAGTGAGGGAGAGAGGAGAAGAGAGTTAATGAGAGAGAGGGGAGTTTTTAGAGAGATGAAGAAATAGAGAGAGAAAGTGAGCATGTTTTAGAGAGAGAAAGAGTGAAATATAAGGAGAAAAGAGAGAAGAGAAAGATAAAAAATTTAGAGAAAGAATAATAATTTGTGATTTATTTTGTATAAATTTTTTTTCTCTTAGTTGATTTATAACTAATATTTTATAAATATAAAAGAGTATATAAAATTTTTTATCAACTATTACAATAGTTAAAATATATGAAAGTCTTTATCAACAATTGTAACTAACTGTTTATGATTTTTTAAGATATCAATATTTTACTATTAAAATAAGTTAACGTCGTTATGTCGAAACAGATATAGTGTAGTGATGCAACCTTAATTTATTTTATAAAATTAGTTTATAGTAATTAATTTATTTTAAAGTATAAATTGGTCGATAGTTATAAGTAAAATTTTTTAGTGTATTAAGAAAATTGCAATTTAATAGACTTCAAAAGTCGATGTAAAATTTTGTCAATAGGATAGATGTCAAATAAATAATTTTTATCTACTTTAAGTATAGGATACATCTAAATTTATAAATTTATTAAAAAAATGAGTATAGCAATGAACAAATCTGATTCATATTTATTCTGCATCGATCTTTACGAATAACATGTCATTTTCAAATGAATGAATTTTCATAGATCATCAAAAATTCATATAAGAAAGATTCTTCAAAGTACACATTTTTAGTTTATTTATACAACTAGTTTCCAACAATCTGCTCTTAAAGTGCAGAAAGCCACAACAATAGCTTCTTCTCAAAACTATTCTCTTATATAAATACAACGTAGCAACCTACTTAACGGAGGAAGTAGAAAAAAGGACAAAAAGTTTGAAATACAAAAGCCACAATGAATGAATGAAATGTTGGATTCACAAATTGAATTTTCAATATAAATTGTAATTATATGTATTAGAAGTCACTAATCCCACTAAAATTAAAATGTATATTCAAAGCTTCAAAATATAAGAAATTTTAATGGATTTTTATGTAGTGATCATATGACTTGAATCATGTTAAGATTATATTCATTTATGGGATGGGTTAGAAGTACAGTATGCAAGAAATCGTGGGCAAATGATCATCATAATACCCTTTATTATAGCCATTCTGCCTACTCTGAGTAGTTTGAAGATGTCTTCTTATCAACACAATATTTTCTCTAGTCTCCTCTACTATTTATAGTCCAATTAGTTTCTTTTCTCCAACTTCTTCCCAGCAAGATGGTGATTTACAGGATCTCCTGTATAAAGCTTTATAAGGAGCCATTTTACTGTTGGTATGATAATTGTTATTGGATACGAATTCAATCAAAGGCAAATGATCATCCCAGTTCCCTCTCAAGTGAATGACACAATCTTTCAACATATCTTCTAGTATGTCTGAATTACTCTTTTTGACTGCCTATTAGTTTGAAGATGGAATGTCTTATTGAAAGACAGTTTAGTGTCTAAGGTTAGGATTTTTGTTATTTTCAACAATTCAGGTCATCTCGTTTGAGTTTTTTCATGTTTTGACTTTTGAGTTTTTGTTTACTTAAAATTTTCATTATTTGTTCACTAATTTTTCTTTTGTTGGGGATATAAGTGTTATACCAACGATCCAATTATTCGCGTAATATATTGAATAAATTGTTATTTGACAATTTATTCAATATATTATACGAATAATTGGACAATTTATTTTAATATATGACAATAGTATTTTATTATCATATCATTTAATTTATGTGATAAAGTTCTTAATTAAATTTATAGGTTTTACATCAAGACGAGAATTAGGAGAAGCAGAAAGTCGAACGAGACTGTGTCACAGTTGAAGAAGGAAAGAAATCAATGACAGTATCAAACCCAACCAGTGATGAACAAGATGAAGAAGATGAAGAAGATGAAAAAGATGTAGAAGGTGAAGCAGAAGAGAGAATAAAAATGAAAAGTCTAACTGACATCTATGAGAGGTGTATCTTTGCCTCAAAAGAACCTTTCTCTGTTGAGGTGTATCTTTGCACTTCAGCAGCAAGAGTGGAGACTTGCCATGGAATAGGAAATCAGGATGATTGACAAAAATAATACTTGATCTTTGGTAAAATTAAGTACAAACAAAAAACCTATTGGAGTAAAGTGGGTGTTCAAAGGGAAACTCAATCCGGACGGGACAACAAACAAGCACAAGGCACGGCTTGTGGCAAAAGGGTACTCCCAGCTTCCAGGAATCGACTACACAGAGACCTTTGCTCCTGTGGCCAGATATGAAACAATTAGACTCATCCTGGCCATGACAGCTCAGTTTAGTTAGAGTGTGATGCATTTGGATGTGAAATCGGCCTTCTTGAATGGCAAGCTGAATGAAAAAATTTATATTGAGCAGCCACCGGGGTTCATTCAACCTCGAAAGGAGAGACACGTCTATCTTCTTCACAAGGCCCTATACGATCTCAAACAGGCTCCACGAGCCTGGTATGATAAGTTAAATACATACTTACTCCACTGTGGGTTTGAGAGGAGCATGACATAAAATACACTGTATGTGAATAGAGATGAAGACAGTCTTATCACTGCAGTATATGTTGATGATATATTGGTGACAGGCAGCAACAAAAGGAAAATGATAGAGTTCAAGCTGAAATTGGAAAAGGAATTTTAGATGTCTGATCTTGGAGAGGCTACCTACTTCCTGGGAATGGAGATTCATCAAAGCAACCTGGGTATTTTTATTTCACAAGGAAAGTATGCCAAAGAAATTCTAAATAAATTCAACATGAATCACTGTAAATCAGTGTCTACACCACTGGTGTCCAACCTGAAATTGTCAAAGGACGAGAAAGGTAGCAAAGTTGAAGAGGGGAATTACAGAAGTCTGATTGGGAGCCTTCTGTATCTCACAGCTACCAGACCAGACATTTTGTTTGCAGTAAGTTTGCTTTCAAGGTACATGGCTTCACCGATGGAATCACACTTACTAGCTGCCAAACATGTGCTAAGGTACTTGAACGGAACCTGGAATTTTGGTGTTCAATTCAAAGCAAGAGCTGATAGTGGATTAGTCGGCTACAGTGACAGTGATTGGGCAGGAAGCGTAGAAGATGCACGTAGCACAACTGGGTACTTGTTCAAACTAGGCTCCGGTGTTTTTTCATGGGCATCTAAGAAACAGGATACTGTGGCTCAGTCCACAGCTGAGGCTGAGTATGTAGCCGCAGCTACAGCAACTAACCAAGCAATTTAGTTGAGGAAGGTGTTCAATGATGTAAAGCTGGACAAACAAACACCTACAGTGTTGTATGTAGACAACAAGTCTGCAATTGTTTGGCAAGGGGGTCTGGCGACTAGGGTTAGGGTTTAGTGTGAAAATAGGTATTTATATTCGTCTCTTTTTAATATGCATTGTCCATCGCATTTGATTTGAACCGTCCGATCACGTTTAAATAAGAAGTGAATCCGGACCATTCATCGCGATTTGATCTAGACCGTCTGATCGCGTTTAAATAGGATGTAGATTTGGACCATTCATCGTGATTTGATTTGGGTCATCCAATCGCGTTTAAAGGGGGAATGGATTCGAACCGTCCGTACGCGCAGGAATA